AGTTAAAAGAATTTCTTTACAAAGTAAAGTATAGTCTCTGCAGGTAACTTATTAATTAAAAGTCAAATTATTTGTCATGCTTTGACTATAGTTCATCCAATTAATGGGTGGACTCAGCATAAGTCGATTTTTTCTTGGAAAAGACTTAGTGTACCATATTTTACCTAAGCTTTATTATTTTGTATATGTTTAATGCTAATTTCTAGGGAAACAGCTAAGATTAAGAAATAATCTTATTTTGCACAACCTATTTAACAACTAAACCTCTCTAAAACTAAGATGATTAAGTGAGCAGAGCCATCCTGCTTGTTTTGGTCATATCAATTTTACATAATTCTCTTACTATTGTTATTTCCTGAGTTCATGCAGCCTTATATTCTTGATCTCCCTTTAAAGATGTTTTTTCTAATTAATACTGAAACACACATACCAACCTACACACACAGGCCTCCCTTAACAGATTTTTTAAGGCTGCAAGTTCAAGCACTCAAAATGGCATAGAAATACAAGAATCAAGTGTGCCAGTGAATTTCAGGTCCTGTCCCTTTTACAACTATGCATAATCTTTAATGGCCTTTCACACTTCTCTGTTGCTGTGCTCACTAAGATTTTTTCAGAAGGTTTTTTTGAAGCAGTTCCTCCATCTGAAGAAAGCCACTGCCAAAGTTCAAGATTTTACTTTTAAAACATGAGGAGGTTTACAAGGCCTCATTTTTTTTTTTAAACTCATATTGATCATAGATTAGCAGTTGAAGCACAAAAATTATGCATAGCCATATAAAGTGTTTGCCTTGGCTTGTTATCCAACATGGAAAAATACAGCCCAAATAACACTGGACAAGGTTATTTGGCACTTACATCACAGGTCAATAATGGGAAGTATTGGACAGCATGATGCTAGCAGGGGCTGGAAATGCCTGGACTGCAATCCAGAAGGATGACAAGAAAAGAGAGAGCCCAGATTTATTACTGGTTTGGTAGGCTCTTTTTTTTTTTCCTTTCTTTTTTTTTTTTCTTTTTTTTTTCTTTTTCTCTTTCTTTTTGGCAAACATTTTGAGCCTAAAATTATCCTAAGAGTTGCAGTATTTACTTAGAAATCTTCAGAAGCAAAATAAAATAGTGCAGCTTTTTATTTTGAAAAGAATACTTACTTAGTTTCAAAATTGACCAAATCAATGTCAAGGAAGGGTTAAATAACCTTAGAATGAAATGACACAGTACAATTCAAATATCTAGCCTGGCTGGATTGACACACCAGACAAATATGCTTTCTGAATTAAGATGCTAGAGTCTCCATCTACCAGGTAGTGGAAAAAAGGAACTTATTTAGTGATAATTTTTAACACTGTTTCCAGTTATTTTTCTGAGTTGAGCCTAGTACAACCCTTCCTTGCAATCAATGTGTTTTGGCTCCTTGAAGAACAAAATGCAAACAGGTTTAGAAGAAAAGGGACTCATGGACTTGAGTAAGTCCATGACTTGAGTAAGTCCATGACCTCATCGACTTGAATACCTGCCCTACCTTGTGGTTGTCATTAACTGATAGTTGTTGACCAAAGGGATCATAAATAGTTACAATTAATGACTGAATTTTAGAATCCAGAGATGCGTCCGCTAAATTAATCGGCAACAATTAACTTGACTGTGGTTATTCAGGCTTACTTGTGAAATATGAGATGACCTATTTTACTTGTCCGTGTCAAAATAATGATATTCAAATGGGGAAGAAATTAAAATACTTAAAAAATAAATTATAATTATTCCTAACTATTGCAGTTAAAAAAACCTTCAGGATTTTGCCTGAAAAAAGCCAATTAAGGCACAGAGCCTTGGGAAAAAAAAAAAAAAACAAAATAGAGAAAAAATTCAATTTAATATGTGGAATTGAGTTTTCAGTTTGCAGTTCAAAAATATCTTTCTGTTTGGGAAAGCATGTAAACACATGCTTGATTAGCACTTCCTTGAATCAGGGGCATGGTAAAGCACAAATAATATCAACCTTAAAAATATATTAAAACACAATTAAGGTTATATCCTATTTCTAAAGGAAATTACAGCTGATTTCAAAAGAACTGCAGGTGTTTCAAGGAAGTTCCAATTTCTCATAATACTAAGGCATTACATTGTAAGTTGCATAAGAAAAGGAAAAGTTACCTAAAACCTCACTCTACATCCTACATTCTAGAGTATACATACTCTACTTTGGTGTTTGCAATGTATTCAATAAAATTAGCTTATTTGCATTTTATAAGTTTTCAGCAACTTACTTGGTTTGTTTAAAAATTTTCTCCCCACTATTTCTAGGATCCCATTTTATCGGTGAGCATTTAAAAAACTGTATTTTGCTGTCATCTGAAACTGCAGAGAAATTATCAATTACAATCAGCTCAAAGAGATTTCAATTATGTATATGCAGATTTCTAACACTGATTAAAGAGTTGAAACTTACAAAGTTTTTCCACAAGAAGCAAATATTTTATTTCATTAGAAACAAATTTATTTATTTATTCCATACTATAAAACTTGTTCAAAATATTCTGCATGTGATTGTTTCTATGAATAAATCACAGAATCATCAAATCAATCTTAGAATGATAGTATCATAGAATCATAGTATCATAGAATCATCGACTGGTTTAGGTTGGAATGGACCTTTAAAGGACCTTAAACTTTAACCAACTGATGTTGTTACAAAAGGAAAGAAAACTGAGTGAGAAAATGAAAGCTATCAAGTTCAGAGCAGATAAGGAAGCATAGATACCATTTCAAGACCCAATGTTGTAAAGTACCAGAAAAATATTAATTCCTCATGAAAATTAAGATGGAGATCTGGTAACATAGCTCCTTAGTGAGCTGATACCTGTGACTTAACTGCTGTGAAATGTTGGTCTGTGTTACAAAGCCACTTATTTCACAGAATCATAGAATAGTTAAGATCATCTAATTCCAATCCCCCTGCCATGGGCAGGGACACCTCACATTAAACCATCTCACCCAAGGCTCTGTCCAGCCTGGCCTTGAACACTGCCAGGGATTGAGCATTCACAACCTCCCTGGGCACCCCATTCCAGTGCCTCACCACCCTAACAGGAAAGAATTTCCTCCTTATATCCAATCTAAACTTACCCTAAGTTTTAACCCACTACCCCTTGTCCTGTCACTACAGTCCCTAATGAAGAGTCCCTCCCCAGCATCCCTATAGGCCCCCCTTCAGACACTGGAAGGCTGCTATGAGGTCTCCATGCAGCCTTCTCTTCTCCAGGCTGAACAGCCCAAACTTTCTCAGCCTGTCTTCATATGGGAGGTGCTCCAGTCCCCTGATCATCCTCGTGGCCCTCCTCTGGACTTCTTCCAACAGTTCCATGTCCTTTATACAATTTCAAAGTTGTATAAAGAGAAATTCACTTTTTTTTCAGTGCCTATAGAATAGATTCATACTTCCAGGTTCAAAAGTGCCAGGTACCAAACATTTTCTGCTGAGGAAAAGTTAAGTGTGTTGTTCTTTTAAAATCTGCTCTCATGTTCACTGGCACATACATGGATAACCATTAGTTTTCTTTTATCTTTTGGATTCTTGTGCTTTGATGTAAGGAGTGCTGTCATCAGGATGCCCACAGGAAGAAGAAGAAGGAGCTTTAGCAAATGGACACACATATTGCCATTGAGTGGTTATGCACGTTGCTTGCATTTTAAGTAATTGAAATTACTTAATGCCTTATCTATACCCTGCTTTGTAACCGTTAGTGTTTAAGAGATAAGTATGATTTTAATCTTCATTTAAACCACACCATTCATCCTTTCTGTTCAGCTCCAGGTTAATAAATTTTTCTTGACACGTCAAAGAACAAAACAGGGCTGACTTGCTTCTTAGGAGAATTGAGGACTTCACATAGTGAAATAGAAAAGTAAATGCTCATCAGTTCTTTCAGGTTTCATGCTCATGAATCCCCTCGCTCTCTGTATTGATATGTCTATATGTATAAAAGGAGAGAGTAGGTGAAAATGCCCATCAGTACTTGACTGTTGTGTACTAATTCAATTTGGCAGCATCTTGGAGTCATGAGGTAGAAAAAGTAGAATATGATTTTAAAGCTTCATTTGTTTTTAAATTATATCAGCTATTTAAAATTTTCTGTTTGTTTTCCTCAAAAAGTGACTTGATCTTTTGTTGTGCTCATTATTTCTTTAGGTAAGTACATCCACTACCATGTAAGCATGTTTAGCCTTCTGTCCAGGTAAGCTTTTTCATATAAAGGATATACTTTTCAATTTCTATCAACGTACTTTATGAAGCCAATTACTTCTTCATAGTCAGAGCGTGTGTGTCTAAATGCCCTTCTGCGGACAGATGTTCCTTTCTTCTGCCATGAGTACAGCAGGAGCTGCGTGTCCCAGGATAAAAGTCTGTCAAGGTGGAACAATGTCCCTTAAATGCATCCACACAGCTTTCATTTAGTTCAAAACATATGAACAAACTGAGGTTTGACTCCAGAAGACCTTGTAATTATTGCTTCGGATATTGAGTCTATCACTGTGTTAAGTAATTAAGTGAGGAAATAGTACAGTACTGCATTGCCACATAGAGTCTTGAAATACTGTAGTCTCTTTATATAGATGCTGAGACAGATTCAAGCCTGGGTTGTCCTGAAAGATGTCTGCTTTTGCCTTGAAGTCTACTTAGAAATGTTTAAAGCAAATTCCAGTTTTTGGAAAACCTCAGCTGTCCATAACTTTGCAAAAGAAATCAAATATTGAGGCTCTCTGTGTCACCATATTGGGCTTTTAGATACCATAGGCTGAGTGTTGACAAATACTACTCTTGGTCTCTCAGTTGTGTCCCTGAGTGGAGCCATATTGCTGTTTAGGCTCATAGATTCCACAGAAAGCAGAGGGGAGAGCAAAGACTCACAGAACAGCATCCTCGCCCTAGGGGACAATGGACCTGCCTTGACTCAAGCTTCTCCTACCGTGACATGTTTCTTTATCTTACCTGATGACAGTTCAATGCAGAATGCAGAAATGGTGCTCAGAGTCAGAACAGGACTTCGAAGTCTGCTGCTGTCACAGTTAAGTGCTGAACTACACAGTCATCTGTTCTTTTGGCCCCTTGTTTGCCATGGTAAATCACAGGTTTAGAGCCAGTCATCAGCTCCTCACATGTCTCTAATGCTTGGCTAAATATCACCTTGCCCCTACATCAAGCAGTCTTGTATCACCAAGATACTGAAGCAGGCATCTATCTTATGCACACATTTAGAAGGATAATTTAATGTAATTATGCAAACAAACAGTACACAAAGAAAAGCTCTTTATTCTTGGTCATCAGACAGAAAATTAATTTCAGATGTGGCTGATCTATTCCAATGGCTTTTTTCCTTGATCTAGGAAGAAACTGAACATGGACTTCTGCTGCCCTCTCATATAGCAATCTCATCCAGCTTGCTTATGCAGGAAGAGTTACAATTACAAAAAAAGCATGTAGTGAGCTTATATAATTTAATGAGAACTTCCTGGGCAAATGATAACAAAAAATATGGATTCAGTTTGGTGTAAATAGTGTAGTTCAACATGGTGTCACAGTTTAAGGCAGAAAATTAGCTCTAATCCAGCTGAAACCAGGGCACATGGGTTCCCAGTGTTCCTTCCATGTTTTTGTACCAGAAAGGTTTTAACACTTCCTAGCTTAAACTATCAGATAATCAATACTCAATATTCTTTGTTCCAAATGTTACTATCTCACTGCAAAGGTGAGGTAAAAGGTGTTTAAGCAGCTCAAATGCAGCAAGAAAGAGGACAGATACATATTCTGGAACAGTTACTGCTGTGGGAAGGCAGCCCCTTGCTGCAGACTGTAGCCCCTCATAAATGCTACCCAGTGCATCTCTGGAGCTATTGCTTGCTGGGAGAGGATGCTGTGTCTCTCTCTCTAGGTTCCTCATCACTCTAACTCATGATCCTACTCTCACTTGTAATTCCTGCATGAAACATCTTTTAAAGTCCAAGATATTTTGTAATTCTGTAACACCAGCAATATTCACAGAAAGAACAGTTTCCCTTCCTTTTATAGACATATTTACATCCCATTAAAAAAAAAAACAACTATAAACATTGGATTGGCAAGACAATTCGAAAATAAGCTGCTGTCTTAGATAAAGGAAAACTCATACGCAGTCAGCAGGGCAGCTAGCAGGAAATTTGGAGGCTGATGGTAAATTTTACAGTGAAGAAAAGCAGTTTCTAGCTGGAGAGTCTGTTTCTCCATTTTAGGGTCCAGCTGCAGTAGAAAGGTAACCTTTTACAAAACAGGAAAATCTTGTGTGCATTAAGGTGGTACCATGGGCATCACTTCCTTCACCCAGAGGTGGAAGCTCTTAAGAGGTATAGAAGCTCTTGTAAACAGCAGGCAGGTGCTGCTGGTGAACATACTGAAGATGGAGGAGGGCAGTCAGAGGTGTCACAAATCAGTGGAAAAGGAGCCAGGAATTTCACATTAGAAATTGTCTTCATTTAGCACCAAGACAGCTTTGCATCTGACCAAAACACATTCCGCATGTTTGATGCAGAAATAGACATTTTTGCATTGATTAATCAAACATAGGTTTTGGCACATGTTTAACATGCAAACTGCAGATTTTACTGCTGAAAATCTTTGGGATTTGATACAAGTCTTGTAAATGTGTCCATACATTCAAGTAATCTTTTTAAAAAGCAAAACCATTTCCAGTATTTCCTTGCCAATAGCTGTAATATGTGACCACACTGGAAAGGTTATGCACATGCCACATACAGGAACTGGTGGTGCCTGGCTAAACTAACTTGGCATAGGCAAGTGTGATCTGGCAAAGAACAGATCCTTTGCTAATGAATCAGTGTGAGCTGCTCGGTTTGGACAGAAACAAACTGTAAAACGCCAGCTCAGCAGGAGCACTTCCTCGAATACATCAAAGCTGTTCCTCTCTACATGGCACAGCTGAGTTCTTTCCAAGAATTTCTAGACCAGTATTCTTGCATTTCAAATTGTTTTTAAATCCCCCCTTCTGAAAGCACCGAAACAAACAGAAAGGGATGTAAATCAAGATACTAAAATCATCAGTGAGGCAAAGCATGAGCATAGCTGGAAACAGGGTTCCCTTGAGATCTTGCTTATACCCTGAATATATTTAAAATATACATGTTGATGTCATTTCTGGAGAAGCAGCTATATTAAATATTGTTATTTTTTTATCTGGGTACTTACAATATTTTTCTTCTTAATATTTAATTTCCTCTATAAGTAACCACTAAAGTACTACCTACATTATTGGCATGGGATAGATTTCAGCTGCATCAGTAACTTTTGGGGAAGTAGTTTCGCTTATTTCAACAGAATGTGGTGGAAGAATCAGAAGAAATATCAAAAGTAACATGATAGCCAAGTTATAACATCTTACAGAGTTTATGAGGCTACAGACCAGTTCTGTGTCCATCGTGTGTAAAAGAATAGGAAAATAGCAAGTCAGTGTGTTAGTAATTATAAGTGGTTGTTGTGTTGTGGCTGTCCCTCGTGTCCAAAAAGATGGCAGTGAGTTAAGAGCTGTGAGCCTGTCTCCACCCTTGTGAGGGAGAGCCCCAGCACACACTCAGGGACACGGGGACATTGAGCACATAGAATCATAGAATAGTTAGGGTTGGAAAGGACCTCAAGATCATCAAGTTCCAACCCCCTGCCATGGGCAGGGACACCTTGCTCTAAACCATCTCACCCAAGGCCTCGTCCAACCTGGCCTTGAACACTGCCAGGGATGGAGCATTCACAACATCCCTGGGCAACCCATTCCAGTGCCTCACCACCCTAACAGGAAAGAATTTCCTCCTTATATCCAATCTAAACTTCCCCTGTTTAAGTTTTAAGCCACTACCCCTTGTCCTATCACTACAGTCCCTAATGAAGAGTCCCTCCCCAGCATCCCTGTAGGCCCCCTGAATCATGCATCAGCTGGTTGCATATGTTGGTGCAGGAAATGGCTGAGCTGAGCAGGGTTGCTGGCCTAGCCAGGCTGAAGTTTTCATCTAAATCCCTCAGCAGTGCTAGTCCTGCTTCTTCAGCAGAATTTAGGTGTACTGGGTCAGACCCACACATAGTATGGATTAGTGATCTTCTGCGAAGTATTATGTTTTTATGAGAACCAGAAGTATGCATTTGTAAGAAATAGGAAGGGAAACTCAGACATGTTAACAACTGGGATGAGGTATAGGTCTGCCTGATAAGCTAAGCAGTGTACAATGATTTTCTGGTTTTGTTGTTATGTATAACATCACATGTGTAGTAGTCCCATCAGAGCTACAGGTAGGAGATGCTATAATCAGGGTCCCTGCAGAGACCTTGGTGAAAAAGAAGCTCTTTGTCATGTTTCAGCTGTGGTCAAGCATCCAAGGCTGCAGATATTGTTGTTGACTACCTCTGAGATCTCTTGTGAGCACAACCTGTGGCTTCAGATGGAATTTTACAGGGGACACATCACTCTTGTGTGAAAGAGGGATCCTCTGACAGCTCCTGAGAATAAACCGCTCCTGCTATTTCTGGGTGAGAAAAGTGGTCAGTTTGTGAGATGTGGAAGGCTTGTCCTGGCATAAAAACTAGCTCTGCTGAGGCCGTTTCAGCTAATTTTGCCATGCCAAAAAGATCCAAAGATGTCCTGGAAGATGGCTTGCACAAAGATGTCCTTGAATATATGCATATATTTGTATAGAGAAATATACAAATATATATATATTATATATAAAATGCATAACATATATACATATATATATATATGGAGAAAAACAAGGACTAGCAAGGTAAAGGGGGAAATGAGGGCCTGGCAGGAAGAGAGTTCTGTGAGGTACTGAGAAAGGAACACAAGAGGAAAGGATTAATAAAAAGTAAACACCTAAACCCCCATAAAATATGTAGCAGTAGGGCAGATATGCAGCTGGGAGGATCAAAGCAAGACTGAAGTAAAGGGATTAAAGAAGAGAAGTCAGCAGGAAATGAGGTATAATAATAAATAATAAGCACATAAAAATGCACAGGATAAGAAGTACACTGGAAATACTGAGACAAAGGGAAGACGGTTAATCTTCGGAGCAAGGTACTCTAACCCCAAATTATTGCATGATTCTTACTAACAGTCCCACTCCTCAATTGTTGCCCAGGGAGGCTGTGAATGCTCCATCCCTGGCAGTGTTCAAGGCCAGGTTGGACGAGGACTTGGGTGATATGGTTTAGAGTGAGGTGTCCCTGCCCATGGCAGGGGGGTTGGAACTTGATGATCTTAAGGTCCTTTCCAACCCTAACTATTTTATGATCCTATGATTCCACCTTCCACTAGGTCAGGTTCCTCAAAGACCTGTCCAACATGGCCTTGAATACTTACAGAGTTGGGGCATCCACATGGTTACCTTTGGTTACAAGGCAAGAGCTCAAGGTAGGCAGCTACCAGAGGAGAACCTGGTCCATGGACCAGGAAAAGCATGTATGCATAAATATGCATATATTTATACCTCTCCCACTCCTTTTCATCATCATTATTATTATAGTTGTTGCTATTATTATTATATTTTACTTTGTTTCCATTATTAGACTGTTCTTACCCCAAGGTTTTACCTTTTTGTGATTTGGCAACTTCGCAGCGCTTAGTTGCTAGCTGAAGTTAAACCGTGACACCATCAGGTTTACAAACTAATTTCTAAGGTTGCCTTATTTTGTGTATGTGTTTTTTTATTAATTTCTGAGTCAATCCAACAAAACTTTTTTTTTATTTTTATTTTTAAACTGAATAAATGCTCATTTTTAATACTTTAATGGCTCATTTTATTTGGAACAAAAATAATTCTGGAATTCCACATGGGACAGATTCTGTAGTTTCCATTCACATGGCACTTGAACTAAAGGTGCTATTAAAGTTCAAAATCATAAGGAGGATATCTTTGAATGTTTTCTGATATCTTACAGAAACAACTACACATCAAAATTTAGGGGGGATAGAATTATAGACAACCTTTCAATTAAAAGCACTACGAGTATGCTTCATGCTGTGTGATTAAA